TATAGTTCAAAGTTATACCTTCTCCGCCAAATCCCGTTTTCTTTTGTGCCCTTATATATGTGTCGCAAGATTTTTCTTTTGGAGGTGGCTAATAACGTTTCCTCCCTTTTAGAGAGTGTCCAGGTTTCTAAACTGTATGTGAGTACCGGTCTTATTAAGGTTTTGTATATTTGGCATTTTGTTTTTCTGGAGACGTTATCTGATCTTAGTTGCCTAATTAAGCCATGGTAACATTTATTGGCAATAAATATTCTCCTCTTCACTTCCTCTGCAACGTTGTTATCAGACGTAACTAGGGATCCTAAGTATGTAAAGTTTTTTACCGCCTCAATGTTGTATTCTCCTATTGTTAAATTTGGCAGGTGCCTTATTTGTGCGTTTTTATTTGCAGGCATATATTTTGTTTTTGTCTGATTGATTTTAAGACCACTATTTTTTGCAGCTCGTTCTATTTGAGTGAATGCCTCTATCATTTCTTTTCTTGATCTTGCGATTATGTCAACATCATCTGCAAATGCTATTACTTGCACGCTTTTATTAATTATTGTTCCTTGGGTATTAACTGTTGTGTCTCTTATTATTTTTTCAAGTATGATGTTGAATAATATGCATGATACATCGTCTCCCTGGCGTAGTCCCTTCTTCACATCTATTGTTTCCGTTAATTCGTTTTGCATCCGGATTTTACTTTCTACTTTTAGTGTTTCTTTTATCAATTCTATTAGCTGTGTTAATATATTAAATTCTTTCATTGCTTTTGTTAGGAATTCTCGGTTTATATTGTCATATGCGCTTTCGAAGTCTATAAAGAGATGATGTGTGTCGATGTTATATTCACTTGTTTTTTTAAGGATCTGTCGCAGAACAAATCTGGTCTATTGTTGACTTCTGTCTACAGCAGCCACATTGGTCTTTGCCAACTATTTTTTCAGCGTATGGTCTAAGTCTTTCATACATTACGTTGGACATTATTTTGTATGCCGCATTCAACAGCGTGATTCCACGGTAGTTTTCACATTCTAACTGGTTTCCTTTTTTATGTAGTGGTACAATAGTGCCGCTATTCCACTCCTTTGGTAGCTGTTTATTCAACTCTTCTCATATCTTTCTTATCAGCTCATATATGGCTTTAAGTAATGCGTCTCCTCCTTCTTTCAGTAGCTCCGATGATATTTGATCCGATCCCGGTGATTTATTGTTCTTTAATTTGTCTACTGCTGTTCAAATCTCTGCTATTGTTGGTGGACTCTTTTCTCTGTTGTCTGCTTGGTCTAACGGTATATCAGGGTTCATCTCCGTCCTATTCACTCCAAGCTTTTCCTTAAAATGTTCTGTCCATCTTCTAAGTATCTCTTGCTGTTCTGTCAATATATTACCCTCCTTATCTTTACACATCGTTGTTCTCGGTTTGAACTCTTTTCTGCTTTTGTTGAGTTTCTGGTAAAATTTTCTTGTCTCTGTTGGTTTACTTAGTTCTTGTAGTTCTTGAAGTTCTTTGTTGATATATTCTCTCTTCTTTCTTCGGTGAATTTTCTTTTCTTCTTTACGTAGTTGTTTATATTCTTCCTCTGCTTGTCGGGTTCTGTGCCTCTGTTGCATCTGTAGATATGCTCTGTTTTTTCTTTCTGTTATAGTTTGACATTCTTCGTCAAACCAGTGATTCGTTCTTATTCTTTTTTCTTTACCTTCCATACATATTTTATAATGTATATAAAATTTAAAATGTATATACATATTTTAAAATTGCCCTTTCGGATAATGTTTGGTAAAGATTTATTTAAATATTTTATTTTTATTATTTAAAATATCACCTTATTTAGTTATACCTCTATAATTAATTACAATATATTAGCTTAATATAATATGGCTTTAGTTACACATCTTTAAAATTCTCGCACTTTAATTGGCTGATTCATTATTGTCAAGTTCTGAGAATTCACTTGTCTGAAAACAATATGTTTTGGGAAACTATTTATCAATCCAGAACACTTCAAAATCCTTAAGGAAACGTACTTGTTCTTTGTGTAGACAGTTTAAGATTACACTTTAAATTTAATTTATTGCTATGCGCGGAAGTTCTAAAATCAAAGGAACCACCCTTTTTGACTTTCATACATACTTATTTCTTCTGTGTAGATATGGACGCTCTAAACCAACTCTTCGTCGCTCACACATCTTAAAATCCATCTTATTATGTATATACATAGTGGCCCAAAAGTCTGGAAACGGCTAATTATCTCGTGAAATGCTAATCATAATTGTACAAAATTTGAGGTACATGTAATTTGAGATACGGAGATTCCATATTTGATATTTACAATGTTGCCAGATTTGCCGTTTTTCTTATATTATTAATAACTTTGGTTTTTCAAATACATCACCCTGTATATTCAGTAATTATTGGAATCTCCTATGCAAAACGAGTTTAACCATATGTAACACTTATGATTTTATGTAATCTGGAACGTCATAAATACATAAAACCGAAGTCTGGCAACGCCATAAATTTTCAAATATGTTAAAACTTAACAGTTGATAGTTTATAACATTTTTTAACATAGTAGTTACGTTATTAGGTGTTCAAAATGTGCTCAATTTGTGAGTTGAGAGCACCCTAATCGATGGTAGAAGGCCTCTACCACATTTCTCCATGATTGTCTAGAAATTATTCGAGATTCATTGATAATTCGTTGCCTTAGCTCTGCAAGACTTGCTGGTTAAGTTTTGTAAACTGAATTTTTCAAGTATCCCTAATGAAAATAATCTTTAGGTTTGAAATCGGGTGAACGTGGAGGCTATTCAATTCTACCTTGTCTACCAATTTATCGTCCAGGAAATATCTGATCTAAATATCGCCGATAACATTTATACCAACTATCTGACGTTAAATTTCTTTCGACAAAAAATGACCCAATTAAATAGGTAACTACTATATCTGACCATACATTTAATTTTTGTGGTATTTGAGTATGGTTTTCACGCATTCAGTCTTCAGCGTGAATTTACGTCACACCAGTACCTTAAATTGTGTCGATTTACACTTCCACACAGTGTAAAAGTTGCTTCACCTGAAAAACATATTCTGTTAACAAAATTTTAATACTTTTCAATTTTATCCATCATTACCTCAGTTAACTCTAATCTACGACCAAAGTCATCTTCACTTAATTCTTGCAATAAGTTAATTTTGTATGATTTAAATTTATTTTTACGTAATAAACGTAAGACTGAAGAATGACCTACATCATGTACTTGTGCAACCCTGCCTGGGGATCTATGTGGATCTTCAACAAAACTTTGCTTATATATGAAGTTTTGTTGTCATTGACAACTCGTTTCGGTCAACCTGATCGGTATCTATCTTTTACTTCTCCAGATTATTCAAATCGCCTTACAGTTTTTTGTATCGTCGTCTTATGAATAGGAAAACGCTTTATAGAACGGCATTTTAGAGAAGCAATTTAAATTGCAGAACTTTTTGAACCACAACTACTGTCAATTTTAGTTCATAATTTAAATGGTGAACAAATGTCAAAATCATAGCATTCTCCATTTAAATATTTAAATTTATTAAAATCTACATAATTTGCACTGTTTTATGTATTTAAGATCTTTCAGACTACATAAAATCAAGTGAACATATGGTTGAACTCGTGTGAAATTAACACTGAATGCGTGAACACCATACTCAAAGACCACAAAAATTAAATGTATGGTCAGTTATATTAGGTACTTATTTAATTGGGCCATTTTTTATCAAAAGAAATTTAACGTCAAATAGTTGGTGTAAATGTTCGGCGTTATTTAGATGAGATATGTCCCGGACGATAAATTGGTAGACAACGTAGAATTCAATGGCCCCCACGTTCACCCGATCTCAATCCTAAAGATTATTTTTATTAGAGTTACTTGAAAAATTCAGTTAACAAAACTTAACCAGCAAGTCTTGCATAGCTAAGGCAATGAATTATCGATGAATCTCGAATAATTTCTAGACAATCATGGAGAAATGTGGTAGACGCATTCTACCATCGATTAGAGTGCTGTCAACTCAAAAATGGAGCACATTTTGGACACTTAAGAACGTAACTGTTATGTTAAAAAATATTCTAAACTATCGATTGGTACGTTTTAATGTATTTGAAAATAGTTAGTATTAAAAAATGTATTGAAACAATTTAGGCGTTGCCAGACTTCTGTTTTATGTATTTAAGACCTTTCAGACTACATAAAATCATAAGTGTTACATATGGTTGAACTCGTTTTTATTAGAAGATTCCAATAATGACTGAATATACAGGGTGATGAATTTGAAAAACCAAAGTTACTAGTAATATAAGAGAAATTGAAAATCTGGCAACATTGCGAATACCAAATATGAAATCTAGGTATCCCAAAATAGGCGTATCCTAAATTTTGTATAATTATGTGTAGTAATTTAAGAGATAATTAGCCGTTTCCAGACTTTTGGGCCACTCTGTATATTAATGTGATATCAAGAATTTTAATTTTAAAACTTTACAAAAAATATATCTGTATATGGAAGGCATACTCTCCTAAGTCCATTTTTCAGAAAAATACATTATTGCATAACCGGGATCGCAATACCCAATATTATTCAGGGGAATACTACACTAAGTCCAAACTCTTTTAGAAACGAAATTAGACGAGAAACTATGTATACTATGTCCAGTTTGCTTAAGAGGTATATAATCTCATCTGGACTTAAACTTATATTCCTCCAAATGAAATATTATGAACTGGATTCTAAGTCCAGTATAGGATCATATTGGAGATTTGATTTAATTATAACTTAATTTAATAGGTTGTACTAAGCAGTATTTTAACGAAAAATCGTCATTAATGACAGGCGGGCGCATTCTGACAATAATATAATATTTAGTTTTTAACGTACCATCATAGCAAACAGATAACAGATTTAAAGTCAAAATCGTGTTATTTTAGAGAAGGTATTTGGTGAGTCTTTTATTGATTTAAAAATGGCATTTCGCAAAAGAAGTTTAAGGATATTAGATTTGTCGCCCTCCAACATACCTAAGTATTTAAATACAGATCCTAGATTACAAAAAGGTAAGTTTTTATCATTAAATTATTATTTTTTTCAGTCAGTTGTGAAAAAAGAAATGTAATATTTACTTCTTTTCTAAATGTTAATAAATATATCTCAATGCAATGAGGCGTGGAAGTTTATAAACTCTGTTAAGAAGCCGACTAACGAGAAAGTAAATCTAAATCCCATAAATCCCGAGGATTGGACACATTATTACAAACATCTATTAAATGAGAACAGAACCGAATTTAAACAAGATATAAATTAATCAAGAATCGAAATTCTGGGAGAGCATATTAGGTACCATAGATATAAACAAAGTTCAAAAAGCTATAGCAGGAATGAAGAATGGGAAAGCAAGTGGACCAGAGGGAGTAACTACGGAATTAATAAAGAATGGCTCAGAGAAATTACACAGAATGATCACGGTAATATTAAACGAATATATTAATGGACACTCAACACCAGATGAATGGAAAACAGCATATATGACCCCAATATATAAAAAAGGTGACAGGAGAAATTGTAAAAACTATAGAGGGATATCGGCCACAAGTTCAATGAGTCGACTATACAGTCGAATATTACGGGACCTGATAGAGGAAGATTATCAATCGTCTGAAGACGAAGAACAAGGAGTATTTAGAGCAGGTCGTTCATGTGCAGATAATATCTTCTGTCTTAAACAAATAATAGAAAAGAAAGTTGTGACAAATAGAGAGTTACATATGACTTCTGTAGATCTTGAGAAGGCATACGACACAGTCCCGCTAAATAAACTATGGGAAGTCCTGGGCACATGAAAAATACATCAAACATTGGTTAGTGCTCTCAAAGATCTATATTATGGTTCAAACTCTCAAATGAAATTCGAAAACCTCTTAGCTGAAAAATTTGCAGTTACCAAGGGTCTCAGACAAGGATGTTGAATCTCTCCGACTCTATTTAAAATTTATATCTCTGCAGCTCTGAAATAATAGAAAAGGAAAGTCAAAGAAATGAGTATACAATTGAACGATCAGTATTACATATATACTTTACAGTTTGCAGATGATCAGGTGGTGATCTCAAATGACAAAAACGACATAGAATACTTGCTTAGAAAACTAATTGAAGAATATTAGAAATGGGGATTAAATATCAACTTAGAAAAGACAAAATACCTCTCAATTGGAGCTGAAGCAGAACAACTCGATATCGATGACAATCAAAAAATAAATCCATGTGACGAATATAAATACCTGGGCGTCATCTTCGACCGTAGTGGAAAAGACGAACGAGAAATAGAACATCGAATTGTACAAGCACGAAGAGCTATAGCATGTTTGAACGGAGTTCTGTGGAGTAAAGAAATATCAAAGAAAATAAAATGGAACATCTATGAGACAATAGTTAAAACTAGCCTACTTTATGGAGTTGAGACATGGAGAATAACCGAGAAATATAAGAAAAAGTTTGAAGCTACGGAAATGGATGCCATCAGAAGATCAATGAGAATATTAAGAGCCGACAGAATACGGGATGAAGTGATAAAACAACAAATGGGTATAGAGGGCACTATAGTTGAGGATATTGAGAGAGAACAGCTCATATGGTCTGGGCATGTGAGCCGAATGGGGGACGAAAGATTGTTTAAAAAAACGATGATGTGGCAACCCCCAGAGAAGAGGAAACTAAGAAGACCACCACAGAGCTAGAACCTGGAAGTTAGGAAAGCGATTAGCGCTCGAAATCTGGACGAAGACCTAACTCAAGACAGAATACAGTGACAGACGTTTGGGAGCCTTCGGCTTGGTGCTGTTACCAAGCCGTTATCGAAGCCGAAGGCTGAGCCGAGACCAAGTAACGAGCTTGAGAAATTTATCATGAAATTATGAGGCATTCATAAATGTCCGAGGGATATTCGGCGGATAATTTTTCGAAAAAAAAACTCATTACTTAACATAATGAAACATGTATTTATTAAAAGTACAGTTAGTGAAAGTACAGTTATTAAAATTTAAGTTAACATTAGATTCGTTGCTGTTCTCTACTATAGAGGATCTATTACCACGCGTTATATTAAATTTATAATCGAAACGTGACATTTTGAAATTTATTTGGATGAAGTTGTCAAACTCGATCGTGTTGTCATAGGGATTGAAAATTGCTCTGAATGCAATTATCAGTTTAATGTTGACATGATTGGGTGAAATTGTTCCACATGACACAAAATGACGAAATTTGAATGGTTGTTAAAACAGTCGAAAAATTGTCATGACAATATCCCACCCCACTTTTATATTAATCAAAAAGAGAATATCTGAACAACGAAACAATTTTATTTAAAGTAGGTATTGATTTTCAATGACTGCGTCAGAAGGTAGAGATAGATAGATAATACAACACCTAAAGTAGGTGATTATAAAATTATTTGTGTTCTTTACTATTTAATTACTTAAATGTTATCACTCATCAAATTTCATCATGTACTTTTCCCATTTATTATGCTCATTCATATATACTAAAGACTATTTTTTTTTATAAATTAGAAATAACAAATTAAGAAATTCTACTACATAAGTAATTATTCTTGTTAATTTTTTTGATAGATGGCACAGTTACATAAATTGTGCTCAAATAGTTACTATAAACCAAAAAATTATTAATATATATATACGTGTTAAAAAATATAATTATTTATTTATAAAATATAACTTTATATACAGTTAAGTTGTTATACAAATGTTTATGCATATACACAAATTGTCTCATCAAAATTTCAAAATTTCTATAATACTTCGAATACAGTCGCTTTCATATAAATAACAAAGTGAAAATTTAATCCAGACATATATAATAGTAAATCCAATTTCCGCTGTTCAAATGTGAAAAATCATGTCTGGGCATTGACGGTCGATCCCACTTCTGACCCCATCCCCTAACCCGACAATAACCTCAACACCCTTTGGCAGGCGCGCACTTCCAATCTTCATTTTGTTTTATCGAAGGGTTGGATGACAAGAGGGTCGACAATGTTTCCAATTTTCTGGAATGTGATATTGGGCTTTACAGTTACGGCTCGCTTGTTCTCTGGTGATTGTAACAAAAAAAAAACAAGACAGTTTGTTTTAGTAACCGGTAGACATTATTTTCGGGTTTCTTTTAATATAATATAACAACGACATGATTTGACATGGGTTGGAAAATATTAGAAACAATTTTTACCTCTTTTGTTTCCTTCTTGGCAAATGTCTGTTTGCAACTTTGCAAGTTTATTTGTGTCGACTATGTTTAAGTCACCCCTATTATCTCTGCACGTTATTAGCTTTGACACATAGCTTTAAGCCTTTTCTTCCGTTTTCAAAATAAAAACACGTGTATTAAAAAAATTTACACAATTCTTACGATATTACGATATATTTAATCGAACATGTTTTAGAAGCTGGTATCTTCCATGAATTTGTTTTTATATCTGACTCTCATAGAGGGCGCTAGGTAAAAGGAAGGAGAAGTATTCGTCAACTAAATGTAGAAGACGACATGTTAGATGCTGTGAAAAATAATCTAAATATTAGTACGCGAACAGTAGCTAAAATGGTAGGAATGCCAAAAAAGTTTGTTCATAGAACATTCGGGAACAAGATTAACGAAGAATTCGAAGCTTAATATTTGGTAGGTGGTATTAAGATAAACTCCTTAGAGAACTCAAATTTTTACCCAAAGTATTACGTGGGGATACAGCATCTTTTATGAGAAAAAATAGTTTGCATAATTTTCACATGGTACAATGAATACAAGGTATGATATTGCGCATGACATTTGACAGCTGGTCATCAGCTGGCCCAGGAGAGTGACGTAGTCAAGACCGCTCGAAATCGCTCGAGCCCATTATTACAGCTTAACGTACATATGAATTTTGAAATTATGGTCAAAAAATGATCGAATTTTTGTTTTAGTGTTTTGTTTTGGTTACAATTAATAAAAGATATATTTTCAGTAGCGTAAAACATTACTTTTCCTGGGAGTTTAGGCGAAATTTTATTTTCGTTTTCATACATATACTAATAATATAAGCACTCTTTTTGTATCGAAATCCGTTGAAATTTAAAAATTTTGTGCAGAGGACATACTGTGAATAGGTAAATAGTAGACGTGCGTATTCTGATTCACTGTCACTCACAAGGCTTGTATAAAAACAAAGTTCGACAATTAATATCGAATGTCAATGGTGAGGATGCAAATTGCAAGTTATGAGATAATAAATATATTTTAAAGAGTCATCTATTTGATAATATAAAAATAATCTCATAATAATAAAAATAATAAAAAATAATCTAATATCCACTTCGCAAGGGCTTAAAAAATTTTATGGGTAAAATTTAATATCGCCCGTAGTATTTTTTTTGTAAAACTAAAAGTTTTTTTTTTGTCATTTTGTATATCTGGTTCAAAATGCGCTGTGCAGTTGCTTGTTGCACAAATGACAATGAAGATAAAATCTTTAGATTTCGTACATTTCCTAAAGATAGTTTGACGAGAAAACTCTGGATAATATCTTGTTGTAGACAGGATAAGTTTAATTGTAATATTGCAAGAATTTGTTCTAAACATTTCAAAACTGAAGATTACCAAAGAAATCTACAACATGAACTTTAAAATTACGTTTCTAAAAAGGGTCTAAAACTCAAACCTGGGGCAGTACCCAGTCTTCATTTGCCTAAATCAAATTCGGCTACCCTTTCAATTAACCAAAAGAAACGCATACAAAGAGTCGAACGCAGAGAGTCCAAAAAGTATGCTGAGCAGCTTCTTACTACTTCTAAGTCAACGACGTAAGTCTAAATCTTTATTGTTATTAATTATTAGTCATGAAAAATAAAAAATATCAAAACAAATAATTTTATGCATAGAAAGAAAAAGCATACTTTTCTTTTCAGTAGGTATAGGTTACATTATTCTAAAAGTATATTATTTACCTATCTTTCTAAGAAAATGATACATATTTGTCTGCATGCAACCATCTGCATGCATGGTAGCTGACATCAATTCACTACTTGTTTTAGTCTTAATAAAAATATATGTTATTTTTTCCGTCAACTCAAAGTTCAAGCTCAAGAAGGATATTGTAGTCAACTTAATATTGAAGATATACCATCAACATCCAAGTCAAGTAGTATGTTAGTAAGTCAGGGTATGTTAATAATAATATTAGTCATGAAAAATAAAAAATATTAATGCATAAAACAATCAATTTTAATGCCTAGAAAGGTAAAGCATTATTTTATTTTCAGTAGGTATAATGTTTTACATTATTTTAAAAGGAAATTACTTACCTATCTTTCTAAGAAAATATAAATAAATCTCACAACAGATGCATCACAACCATCTGCATGGATGATAGCTTACATCAATTCACTACTTGTTTTAGTCTTAATAAAAATATATGTTATTTTTTCAGTCAACTCAAAGTTCAAGCTCAAGAAGGATATTGTAGTCAACTTAATATTGAAGATATACCATCAACATCTCAGTCAATAGGGTATGTTAATAATAATTCCAGTAGCAACTTGATTGTTTTCTAAAACTTTTATTATTTTTAATTTTAGCTAAAACTGTATGCAGACTAATGTGCTTAATTTTTTAGGGTTAACACTAATCCTACCAATCAGGCTTTGGAACTTGCAAATTCGAAAGAAAAAATGAAACTTTTAAATGAACAAGTAGCTGAACTTCTTCAGATAAAATCAGCAGTAGAGAAACTTTTTACACCGAGACAATTAAAACGTTTGCAAAACCCATAAATTCGTACCGTATGGTCTGTGGAAGAAATATCCCAAGCTATATTCTTACATTCAACTGGTACTAAAACATACCGTTTATTTTAATTTATGATTTAACATTATAATAACATAATTTTATCATATCTTTATAATTACTATAATTAAATTAGCCAAATTATATAAAAAAAAACTTAAAATTGAAAGTCTTTACTATACAACTACATTCAAATGTTGCGGGAATAAGCGGTCTTTACTACGTCATGCGCGAAAACGAACCGATTTTGGAACATTATGTATTATACCTCTTGTATTCAGTGTACCATGTAATTTTCATAATTGTCACATACACAAATTTTCAACGCAAATTTAGTAACAATTTATGGGCTGGAATAATTAATATTCGTTTCAGAGGAACATATCAATTACCTAGAGGACTAAGTGGACACTATAATTTCTTGCAAAATATTTTGCCGGTACTTTTTGAAGACGCGCCTTTGCAAACACGCTGTAAAATTTGGTTAGTTCACGATAGAGGCAGAGTACATTTTCCCCAGACTGTTAAAAATCTTCTTGATGCCAGTTGCTAGGAATGTGAACTTTGTGACCCCAAAAAGATGAAAAAAATTGTACCACTCCTACTCCTCGGCTTTCCCCTATAACCGCCTCTAGTACGTTACGTTACGTTATCCTCTTCCACTAGTTTTAACAGTTCTACGGGTATTTCGTCTAATCTAGCTGCCTTATTTTTTTAGAGTTGTTAATTTAGATTTTCGAGATATTTGATTTTATCTATCGTGATCTTCTGTCTCTGCTAAGGATCTAATTTTTGTACCTTTAATTTCTTGGTGAAATATTTTGTTTTTATTAACACCTGTGCGGTGCTTGTATACTGCTATCTGGTCACTACGGACCAACTATCAGCTATTTTCTGACCTAACATAATAACAGCAAATACTTAAATCTAAGGCTTACCCTATGGCTTACTCTTATTTTACCTATTAACTAATGCACTACAACTAACATGCAAAAACTTTACAGCACTATACTCTGCTTTTTACACTAAACTGTTACACATTTACACTAGCTTAAATGGTTTTGTCCTTATGAGTCTTCTCTTTAGTTCAGTGTTGTCAAGACGCTGGAGTGCCTTGACATTCACATGATTGCCTCTGCTCGTGACTTGCTGTTGTTTTCTTGATTATTTCGATCACAGTTTCCATACCCATGCTACGTAATATCAGCGGTGGAGGTCCAGGTGGAGGTTGCTCTTACGGATATACTGAAGAGCATCAACAATGTTTCTCAGTACTTTGTTTTGAAATCTCTAGATAATATGTAGATTACTAGCTTTGGTACAGCCCCAGAGTTGGCACCGATATACCCAGACTGGCCTCAGTACTTTTTGTAGATGGATAATTTATTATAAATTGATAATGTTGAATTTTTTCCAATCAGCCAATACAATTTCTTATATCAAGCTCCCCTCTTTTCTTTTTGACATAGACTTTCCAGCGCAGCTTCGGGTCTAGGGTGATGCCTAAGTATTTTGCTGATTTTACATAAGTAATTCGGGTAGGTATCATTTATTCTAACTGGGAAATTTTCTATTTTTTTTATTTGTAAAGTTAAGGTGTGCAGATTTAGTCTCATTTAATTTTATTCGCCATTTTCTGGTCCAGTTATGTATTTTATTTACTGATCGTAGAAGAAATTATATTTTGTCAAAAGTTCTTTTATTTTTTTACATTGTTTCGTCAAATCCATTTCCTTGGGTACTTTAATTTTGTCCTTAATTATTTATTGTATAATTTTTACATTTTGTCTTTTCCCTTACATTTCGTTCTTTCCTTCATCTATAGTAGTACTTCTTCTAACATCCATTGTTTTTAGCCTTTGACCTGTGTTGTGTCAAACGTTCTCGAGCTGGTTTGAATAATATGTTTTTTATATTATTCCGCTGTTTATTGACGTCCATAATTTGTTTATTGTTAGTGTTTTTTGAATATTCATTCATATTATTTTTAAATAATTTTTTTCTGTCTGTTTAAGCACTGGTATATTAATTTTTGGTTCTTATTTTCCAAGTTCTTACCGATAAATATATATTACATAGCATGTCCTTTACATTTATGAATAAAATATTTTTACTCGTAAAGAGAAACAAATTAAACAGAACTGTAGCAGTAATCTGATTGTGATCATATGTGTATAATGAATTTAAAACATCGTTGATGTTGTATAGTCAAAAACAGTTCATTATTACTTTTCAATCCATCAAATGTGCCACAAGTAGTTTAAATAATGCTTTCAATTAGAAACATATCGATTAATTAAGATCAACTAGATTAATCAAGATTAATTAAAATATTGTCAGGGCATTAGGCGGCTACATAGAAAGTACATTACAAACACAGAGACTCTGTAGTTTATATAATACTAAGTTAACTATGGTTAAATATACAAAAGCCATGTGCCATGTAACACATCTAACCAAAATTTCTGTTATAGAATATACTGTATAAATAACTAGAGCTATGGCATGCTAACAATAAGTGAAATATATAGGTATATTATTTTAAGTAATATTATTTTATATATTTATTTTTTGTTTCATTTTGTTTATCAATAAACTCTTTAATATCTTCGGGTATTGGGTTATTCGTATTATAATTAATTGAATTTGTAATAACATTATATACATATATACTACGTGTGTGCTTGATAACGTTATCAATGATAACTCATCGACAAAAATGGTATTATATCTGGTTACCCAGGACAAATTATATGCATCGCTAATTATTTTCCTTCCGCAGCTTTACCATTTCAGGGGTCGCTGTTTCTTACTCTTCACCGCCACCCACTTCTGTCCATCATCATTTCTTTACCGAAATTATTCCTTTAAGTATTCTGCTATATAGTCCTTCCATCTTTCTTTTTCGGTTTTCCTCTTCCTTTCCTTCTTTAAACTTCTAACAGCTCATATATATCCTTTGTCCCACATAGTTTTCATCTTTACTTCTAATATGACCAAACGATTGCAGTCTTTGTTCTTATATCTTTTTTGGAACTGTAGTCATCCTGGCTCTTTTATTTATTAATTCGTTTCTGATCGTGTCCCTTTTAGTCTTAACCAAGATTCATTATAACTCTTTCATTTCAGTTATCTCCATCTTTTTTTCCTAAGTCTTCTTTACAAGCCGAACTTCACCACCGCGCGCCGTACACCAGCGCATATCTTACCACACTTCTGGTTATCTTTCCTTTTTATCACAAAGTACCTCTTATTCGCTTTCACTTAAACCAACAAGCCTATATCCTGTGGGCAATTTCTGGATCTAGCGTGCCATTTTCCCTTATGTAGAAGACAAAGTAGTTAAATTCTTCTACTTGTCCCACTGTCCCTCCAAACAATTTTATGTCGTCAACCATTCGTATTTCTTCTATTTACATACATATTTACCGTTTTTAACCGGATCATCTGAAGCACTCTCTCTTCAGTGTACCTTTTCCAACACTCCAAATTCTCCTCTAATATTTCTTTGCTCTTCTGTACTAAAACGATATCATGAGCAAAGAGTATTAATCAAGGAGTCCTTCCTTACCTTTTTTGTCAGTACATTTACAACAAGATTAAACAGGTAAGTACTCGGTGAAGAGTTTTGGTGCAAACCAACCGTCACTTCCAACATGGCTTACTCCAACAGTAGTCCTTACTTTGATATACGCTGCCTCATACATTCTTCCAGAGCTCTACGTACTTCTCAGGGACCCATTTATCTTTTTTACATCTTCATAGGTCTTTTCTAGGGACTGTGTCATACGCCTTCTCAACATCGATGAATATTCAATGTATCTCTCTTTTCTTCTTGTCGTATTTATCTATTAACTGTCTACAAGTAAAACATTTATCCATTATCCTTCTTCCTAGCATAAACTTTTCTTCTCCTATCGATGCACTCGCGATTCTCCAATGTTGGTAATACTTTCTCTTCTAGCTCTTTCTGCGGCTCTTCTTCAAAAATCCATTTTCGTCGCTTGCAGCGTTGTCAGTGTTCTTTCTTTTAGTGGCCATACCTCATAACTATATAAAGTGATACTTTTTACTATAGTATCACATATCCTCTTTTTATTTTTGTTGCTGATGGATTGCTCTCATAAAATGCTGTTTAACATTGTGATTGCTTTCCTCCTTGACGTATTTCTCTCTCTCTCTCTCTCTCTCTCTCTCTCTCTCTCTCTCTCTCTCTCTGTTTCTCTCTTATGGTTTTGTCTAAATATTCAATCTTGTGAAATGGTGATACCTAAATATTTGTAGTCACAGCAGTGCTTGATTGTGGTGGTATCATCTAATATGAGATTTTTTTGTTCTACTCCAATACACATCTTATGCACATCCAGTGCACATCACATTTATACTATCTTGGCTTTATTTCAACATCGGTTTATAACACTCTTTTATATTCTTTCTTAGTCTGCCACATGGATATCGAGTCTTTTAAGGATTTGTCCAGTACTTCGGTAATGCTGTATAACCTTTCCGCCCCTTCGAGTGTTTCCAACTCTTTATACAGCTGCGCAGACGATTTTTTCTTAAGAGTAGCTACAGTACGCTGTGCTTTCCATTTTAATAGTATATATCCTTATCTTTTTCTCTTTTAGATCTGTGTTACCTCTTTTTATCCTTTTTCTTTCCTCTAACCGTCTGTTGCTTTTAATCGTTTTACCACCTTTTGTCTCTTTGTCTCTAGGACGCCCTTTATCAGATGTTTCCCATAGCACTTCCTCTGCCACTCTCACCACAACCTTACTGTTGTCTTCCCAGCAGTCAATTATTGTATTTTTTTCCTCAAGGTCCTTCAGTACTTCACTATTAAGGACTATTGTTAAATACTTATACTTTACCTTTCACCACTTTACTTTCTGGTATTATACTTGCTTTTCTTTTCGCTTCATATTTGTCTTTGTATTTACTATCACCAGTTAGTGTAGACTAGCTATACACTCACCCTTTATTATTT